AGACTGTGTCACCAAACGCTGATTGAGTTTTATTGTTGCTATCTCAGAGCTCCACCTTCCCTCTGCTAGCACTGCTGCTACCGTCTCTCTTAGCTGCATGTCGATATGTTTTAATCTAAAAAAAATATATTAACCTTCTTCCAAATCTTCTCCTCTATGTTGTCTGCTATCAGTTCTATAAACTGGACACAGGTGAAATTCCTCACCTGCAGAATAAGTGCTTACTAATAGCAGGTTTCAAACGCCTCACATGCATGCTAAGCTAACTAGCTAGCTGTGCACAGAGAAGCTTCTAGTCTCCATCAGCTACTGAGAGACCAAACACTGGTTTAAAAAGGGTCAAATAATGTCACTTAAATATAAATACAACTAAATCTGAAGCTACCAGACCCCCTCAGAATCAGATGATTGGTTTTGTATAACAGAAAGCTGTGAGAATTTTGTGCTTTTTAAATTTGAGACACTTTTTTGAGCCCAAAAATGAAGATTTTTAAAAAAATTTCTGCCTCCAGTCGTCTGTACCTTAATTCTCTGTAGGTTGGTGAGGAGATAAAAACAGATACAGAACACGCTGAAGGAACCAAAAAAAAGGATATGTTGGCAAGCAGATAACGTAGTGGATAACAACCAGAGCTCATATCTTGAAGAACACTCCCCAGGAAGATGAAACCACATCCACACCGAGCCACAAAAGACCCTAACGAACCCCCACGACTCACATAACGAGGGGGAGGAGCAACAAACCCCCAGCTGAAACCGAAACTCAGGTGTTAATGAATCCTTAAGGATATCAGTATGTGGAACTCCCAACTAGTCAGTCAGAGCTGATGAAGCCTCTTGGATGAAAGGGGAAACGTCTTCAAGGAACTCAAGCAAGTCCAGTTGCTACCATTAATCTACCAGAATATATCTTGAAGACAGACCAAGATCAACGAGAACAGAGTTATGACCCCAAATCATATCATCGTCAACTAAAACAGCAACATTAGCTAAAGTACGTACCAATACCCATCAGTTAAAGAACACTGAGACTGGATTGGTGCGTCACCAATATCTATAAAGTCTTNACCACAGTGAGGCTCAAAGCAACACCAGAGTTACACCACACGACAACTCAGGCAGTCACAGTGACAGCGGAGCTACACAACGCGACAACCTGATGATCACGGTTTGTGGGCCACGACTGCTGCCGCAGAGCGACACACAATCAGCGGCAGTCGATCTGGACTTCAGTGGAAGCCTTCAAAGCTTCCAGCGCGGCGGCGAACAAGCGATACGAGGCTTCATTGTTATTCTGAAAAGTGTCACCTGTGGCTAAACTTATTCTGAGAGCGAACGGAACGAAGGAGGGTTAATGTGGAAGAAATGAGCGAAGGAGGCGGCGGAGGGAAAGTAATTAATTTTCTTCTCAAAGGTTGGCTTCTAGTGTGATTTAACAGTTGAGAGAGCGTCTGATTTCTGAGGGGAAAACTACAAGCTGCCAGAGCTGCCGCACAAATACATCAGCGACAGCAGCCCGGCTCTGGGCGGCTGGAGGGGAGGCTGCTCACGTCTGGTCACGGCCAGGACGGACACGCACATAGAGACACATGGACACGCACATGGACACGCACATGGAGATACATGCAGAGGACATGGAGACACATGGACACGCACATGGACACACACATGGACATGGACACGCACATGGACACGCACATGGAGACACATGGACACGCACATAGAGAGGACAGACAACATGTAAAGGACAGAGAACACAGAGACAATGAAGCAAGAACAGTAATTACAGCACAAAGAACCACAGAAAGAGAGTCGACACTACACAAAATGACAACCAAAGACAAACACAAGAGCACACAGAGACTTAAAATGACAACAAAGAGACACAAAATGACCATAAAGAGAAACAAAATGACACCAGTAAAACATGAAATGACCAGAGACACACAAAGAGACGTCAAAATGACACAAAACTACCACAAAGAGACAATAAATGACACAAAATGACACCAAAGAGACATAAAATGATCATAGAGACACACAAAGAGACTGACGACACAAAATAACAACAACAACCACCCCCCCACACACACACACCCACACACAAAATCTCACAAAGACACACAAAATGACAACAAAGAGACATGAAACAACCACATGGACACTAAATGAACATAAGGAGACACCAAATGACCACAAAAACACACAAAGTGACCACCAGCAGGCACAAAATGACCACAAAGACGCACAAATCTACTGCAACGAGACAATAAATGACACAAAATGACGCCAAAGAGACATAAAATGATCATAGAGACACACAAAGACACTGACAATGGCACAAAACAACCAAAAACCCCCACAAAACTACACAAAGAGACAAAACGACAACCAAAGACAAACAAAAGACCACACAGAGACTTAAAATGACAACAAAGTCCAACAAAACGACCACAAAGAGACACAAAATGATCCAAATAGAGACAATAAACAACCACAGACACTCAAAATGACCATAAAGAGACATGAAATTGCCATAAAATTATAAAAAAGAACCACAAAGAGAAACAAAATGACACCAATAAAACATGAAATGACCAGAGACACACAAAGGGATGTCAAAATGACACGAAATGACCACAAAGAGAGACAAACTCAGCACTAGAATGACAACGAAAAGATTTCAAATGACCTCAAAGACACACAAAATGACAAAATTTTGAGTCTCTTTGAGGTCGTTTGTGTTTCTTTGACATCTTTGTGTGTCTGTGGCGGTCATTTTATGTTTGTCTGGCATCATTTTGTGTCTCTTTGTGGTTCTTTTATTATAATTTTGTGCTAATTCCACGTCTCTTTATGGTGATTCAGAGCCTGGGTTGTTTTTAAACCTGTTTTCCTGGTTTCTAATGTGTTTTCTGCGTAGGACAGATAACCAGAGTGTTATCAGCCGACGTGAAGGTCGTGGATTTCCAGAGATAATGAATAAACGTGGCGGTAACGGGCGAGGATTAATGCAGCAGCTGTGGCGAGCGGCGTTCGCTCAGCGACGGATCTGAGAGCTTCACATTCACACTCGCAGCTGTTTAGCGCTAGTTAAGATTCCATTTCTGTTTCCCACATGACCTCCATTTCCAGAAGGTCCTGAGCTTCAGCTTCACTCATTTACTGCTCCATCATCAGCAGCCCGTCACGTTCTGTCTGCATGAATCGCAGCTTCATTCACGGCGACTGATGCACGAGCAGCAGCCGGAGCAGAAAGAGATCAGCTGATTGGAGTCGGTAAACAGTCGTCGACCACGAGAGTCTGGAAGTTACTACCGCCGCAGACGTCGAGTAAAGAGACGAACGGATAGCAGGATGTAGGTCTGACCACGGCAACACAAACTGGTAGGAAGGACTCACAACACACAGGCAACAAACAAAGACACACAAAATGACCAGAAAGAGATTCAAAAGGACCACAAAGACACACAAAATGACCAGAAAGAGATTCGAAATGACCACAAAGACACACAAAACTACTACAAAGAGACATAAAATGATCATAGAGACACACAAAGAGACTGACAACGACACAAAACAACGAAAAAACACACTAAACTACACAACGGCACACAAAATGACAACAAAGAGACATGAAACAACCACATGGACACTAAATGGACATAAGGAGACACCAAATGACCACAAAAACACACAAAGTGACACCAGCAGGCAGAAAATGACCACAAAGACGCACAAATTTACTGCAAAGAGACAATAAATGACACAAAATGACACCAAAGAGACATAAAATGATCAGAGACACACAAAGACACACAAAATGACACAAAACAACCACAAAGAGATGCAAAATGATACAAAACAATCAAAAAAAAAAAAAAAANAATTTAAACAAAAGCTTAAAAAAACATTAAAATACCACATTTCTAAGATTTAGAAGAGACAGAAAAGTGACGGTTAATTCTAATTTTAGTTAACTTTCTTACAGAAATCTGGTGTTAAATATACACAGATATGTAATTTCCATGGCTGAGTGACGTATTTTATAAAAACTTTTGGTAACTTTTGCTGCCAGACAATTTGTGTTTGTTGCTTTTATATATATTTTTTACTTCTTTTCCTAGTTTAACAGATAAAAGCCACACTTTCTCTGATTGAAGCAGCCTGCTGCAAATAACTGTGGTTCATCGTGGAGAATAAAACACTCAGAGGAGTCTGAGAGGCTGCTCTGACCCAAACTACTTATCTGTAAACTTCCTCAGAAGACGCTGCAGAGGACAGAAAATTAACCAGCCGACAGCAGAAGACGGTAAATCAGCTGCTGGCGGTTTGCTTCTCACAGGATCTGACTTTCTGTCTCCAACCGGCGACACAAACAGACGGATTCGTTAAACTCCTGCAGCCAGATTATGACGGCAGTGTTCAGTTTTTAATAAAATATGGTGAAAACTGGGAAATCTGAAGCTTTTAAAAGTATTTCTCTGCTGTTTTTGTCAACAGATAGTTTGGAACCCGATGGTGGCTCAGTTTTCAAGATTCAAGATTCAAGATTCAAGGTTCAAGATTCAAGATACTAGACTCAAGGCCTTTACTGGTCACAAACACACTATACACAGTAGAACACACAGTGAAATGTATTTATGTATCTGTTAGAGATGAATGGGTAAATGATGGATGGATGGATGCTAGATAGATGGATGGATGCTAGATAGATGGATGGATGGATGGATGGATGGATGGATGCTAGATAGATAGATGGATGCTAGATAGATGGATGGATGGATGGATGGATGGATGGATGAAGGATGGAAGGAAGGATAGATGATGGATGGATGCTAGATAGATGGATGGATGAATGGATGAGGACACACAACATTTAACTTTAGGTCCTCTGCATTATGTGAAAACAGTGTGTGGATGTCGACAGTAAACTCAGCTATTAATTTTTTTCCCTTCTTCTTGCAAAAACAGTTTAAAAAATAAGGAGCTTTTCTTACACTTCCTGTTTCATCATTGGAGGCCACGCCTGCAGGAGGAGCATCAGCAGCTGGAAGTCCTCCCACTTCTGCGCCGCCTCCAGCAGCTCCTGGAAAAGATCGTAGCGTTTGTCTTCGTTCTCCACGTCTTCGATCTGGACCTGAACAAGAAAGCAGGAAGCAGGAAGTGAATAGATCGATCGGATAGATAAACTGCAGCATCGTCCACGTAGAGGTTCATCTACGAACCAGAGCTTCACTGATCTCAACAAACGACCACAAAGTTNACACAAAGTGATGCAGGTTCAGAGCAAACGGAGATAAAACCTCGTCCTGGACGCAAAAGGACGACAGCAAAACATACGCACAGTTATTCAAATCAGACATCAAGCGACAAAAACACAAAAATAGTGAGAAACGCAGACTTTAAACGTGTACGTTATTTATAGTTTTCGCGTCTTTCTTAATAGTCAACATGGAAATTAATACTTTTTTCATGATTTACTAGAAATCATCTGAAATTGAACTGTAAAATAACAGTTTAAAAGTTATTTACTGTTTTTAAATCCTCAGTGTACATCATTTTCTTTTAAAAAGTGGCAGAAACTGTAAAAATAACGATTTAATTTAAATGCAGTAAAACATTTAACAGTCACACATTGTAAAAGAATTATTCACTAGTTTTAAAAAGACAGATTTTTTTTTAAATTGTTGAGGTTTTGGCCTCTTTTTAAAGGGTTATTATCTAAATCAATTTTTTTTCTCTTTTTTTTTTTTACTAGATATTTTCTGTAACTTAATTGTAAAATAACAGTTAAAAAGCTATTTATTATTTTTCAATCCTTAATACACAAAAACTGGCAAAGAACATATTTTTTGTTTGTGTTTTTCAGCAGATTCTATTTTACAGATTTTTACTTTTTTTAAGAGTAAATTAATTTAAATTATTATTTTTTTTAAATCACCTATTATCTGTCATTTAACAAAACAGAGAAAATCTGGAAAATAACGAATATTAACCATTTTTAAAAATCTTTAATATACTCAATTTTCTTTCAAATAACAGCAAATATCTCTAAAAATATTTTCTCATCTAAATTAAGATTTTTTCTCTCATTTTTTTTTTTTTTTTTACTAGATATGATGTATAGTTCAATGAAACATGATGAATCTGTCCAACATCAGCTCCTTCCTGCAGCGAGGTCGTAAATATGAACCGGATAATTAGTTAAAACAGCTCCGATCACGCTGCAGACGAGAGCTGCTGCCGGAGTCGTGTGTGATTAACATGACAAGCAGCACATTAAATATTTACGGCAGCAAAGGAATCTGATCTGGTTCACATGATAAAGGACACGTGATAAATCTGCAGCGCTGCGACGGCGGATTGAGCCGCTCAGACTGAGTTCTGCTCGGTTCTGCTACGAGCTGCAGCTCAGATCAAACCAGATTCAAACCGGAGACCAGAAGAAAGTGTGTCAGTTAAACTACAAACACAGAATGAGCTGATTTAAAACCTTATTAAAGCCACCGATTAACGGCTGAAAGATGGTAAGTTCAGGATTGTAGTTCCTTGAAAACTGTTTATTAAAACTGAAGCTACTGGGAATGAAAACAGTTTATCATTCATCAGATCAGAAATCAGAAAGACTGATGCAAACTGTTGATGTGAAAAACACTAAATGGTAAAAATCTGGCAGCAGTGGAGCCAAAAAATATGTTAAAAACTGAAAACAACAACAAATATCAGCACAAGAACCATATTTAAACTGTGACTTTAGAGAAAGATGCTGCTGATCACCAGTTTGTCCTTCTACATCTGAAGTTCAACACGACAGAAGAAACGAGACAAACTGCAGCTGCTGCAGCCTGAAAACCACGTTTTAAATCATTCTGGACGAGCTTCAAGTAAACGTGGACATTTTTCATAATTTGGGATTCGTCTTTAGTCATTCTGGACAGATTGTAGGTCAGTTTGGACTTTTTAAAAATGA